AAGACCAGAATGTAAAATTGAGAGCTTTTTTACATCTGGAAAACAGAAAAAAATCGACTGTTTTAATGTGGATGGTTATTGTGATCACTGTAAGACAGTGTTTGAAGCAATGGGATGTTATTACCACTTCTGTTCCTGTCAAGAAGATCGTCCCTCCTTAGCAGAACAGGATATTGAGCGAGGAAACAAGAAGAGAGAGATGGATGATATGCGACGAGAATACATTAAAGAGAAAGGATACAAAGTGGAAGAAATGTGGGAGTGTGACTGGTTGGAAAGTTTCAAAACCGATGACAAGATCAAAAATTACGTCAGAACCCACTTTCCCTACAAAAGACCTATTTCTACAGACTCCCTTCTAGCAAAAATAAAAGATGGATCTCTTTTTGGTTACGTTCAGTGCGACTTAGTTGTCCCAGATGAGCTAAAATCAAAACTTGCGAATTTTCCTCCAATTTTCAAAAACACTGAAGTTGGAAGAAATGATATTGGAGACTACATGAAAAATTATGCAATCGAAAACGAAATGTTAAAGCATCCCCAGAGAATGCTGATATCTAGTTCAAGCTAGAAAATGGAACAGTTATAACTCCTCTGTTCAACTTTTATATGGAACTTGGATTGCAGTGCGCCAAAATTTACCGTTTTGTTCAATATTCTCCTCGGAGATGCTTTAATTATTTCGTTCAGTCAGTGGTTGATGCTAGAAGAGAAGGAGATGAAAACCCTTTGTCAGGAGTTGTAGCAGAAACAATGAAACTTTTGGGTAATTCCTCATATGGATATCAGATCATGGATAGATCCAGGCATACAGTCACAAAATATCTGAACGATGAAAAAACCCATAAGGCAATCAATGAGCCATTGTTCAAAAGACTGAATACAGTTGAAAAAGACTTGTATGAGGTGGAGTTGTTGAAATCAACCATTGAACACAGAGAACCCATCATCGTTGGATTTTTCATACTGCAGTATGCGAAACTGAGAATGTTGGAGCTCTACTATAACTTCTTCAACGAATTTTGTGATGTAAACAAATTTGAAGAGTTGGAGATGGACACAGACTCACTTTACTTGGCAATTGCCGAAGAAAATTTATACGACTGTATCAAACCAGATAAGAGGGCTGCTTGGGAAAAAATGAGGGAAAATGACCGTAGAGACTTTTTCAAGGCGGATGCAAAATCTAATTTCTCCCCTCAAACGTGTTGCAGTACGCATAAAAAGCATGATAAGCGGGAGCCGGGACTTTTTAAAGAAGAATTCAGATGTACAGAAATGCTATGTTTGTGTAGCAAGTTATATTGCTGCTATGACAACAAGTCCGATAAGTTCAAATTTAGCAGTAAAGGACTAAATAAACGGGTTCTAGAAGATTCTGGAGACGGCCCCATGTCAAAATACAGGAGAGTGCTTGATGAAGCAATTAACTTTACATCTACTAACAGAGGATTCAGAACTATAAATCATATGGTAGCCACATATGAACAGACAAAGAAAGGACTAAGCTATTTTTATCCAAAAAGACAAGTACAAGATGACGGAATTCATACAAAACCATTGAACTTATAAGAATTGTTCTGGTGTAGTAAATTTATTCATGATGTCGTGTTATATTGATTTTATGATATTAAAAAGTAAAATGTTGCGGTAAACTTGTCATACAATGCAGTGATTTATATTCTTTTTTTTTGTAATTTAATTTTTTCTCAAAAAATTTGATTTTTTTTCGAAGTCTCTGTAGGTTTCAGCATTGTTTCAATTAGATAGAAAGTAAGATTATCTAATAAATTAGGTCAAATAATAGCTAATCTAATCGTGTTTTGAAGTTTTTTTTTGAAAATTTTTTATTAAAAAATCCAAGTTTTTACCCAAAAACTCTTACCATTGACTTACCATGTATCAAAAAACTAATTAAAAGTCCTTCATTACACAACCTACACGTAATTAATTTTTGATATTTACAAATTAGTTAACACGCGCAAACATTTTTTCAAAAAAACTAGACATTTCCACACAAAAACCAAAAAAATTACGTTTTTCTTACCATTATCTTACCATCACACAAACCATAAAACCTTACCATCGGTATTCCCTGTCTTAATACATTGTAGACTCTATACCCAATCTTAATACATAGCTTGCAGACCGGATGCTCTATTCCCTATCTTAATACTTGTGGGTCTGCAGGGACCGCCCCCCTGAGCACCTCCAACATCTACTACTTATGCATCATCAGGTTTAAAATAAAAAATTTTAAAAAAATTTTAAAAATTTCTTAAATGATCATCGATCCTAAAAAGATTCAAAGACAATGGTTATACAAAATAGCAAAAATTCAACCAATTAAAAATTTTTGTATTTGAAATTGTTTGGAAATTTTGAAATAATTTTTCGAATTGTATCATTTTCCAATTTCGAAACATGTCAATTTTTTAATTCCGAAACTTATTCGTTTTTGTTTTACCGAAAATAAATTTTCGGAACTATAATTTAAGGGTTAGTTTCCTGCTCCAGAACTCATCGCGCGTGTTTATTCTCGGTCTCTCCTTCCAGATGAGAAATGCTTCTTGTGTCAACAGCTTGACGTTGGTGTTAGATTGGTCTATAACCTACTATGACTTTCCTGCTGTCGTGCCCTCATTTCCACAATGCCTTAGATGTTGTTCTACAATTCTTTCCTCAACTTGAGTTTCCTTGTAAGCTTGAATAAAAATTAAACCTGAAAATAACCAGGAAAACCCAGTTTTGATCCAAGACACAATACATCTTAATGGCCTATTTTTGGTTTAGTTTGGCTCATTGACCTTTAAAAAGTCGATATCTTTCCAGAAATGTGGCTAAAACAAGGTATTAAATTTAGTTTGAAATGAGTCAAGTATGTAGGCTAATTTAACGTTATTCCCATCTGAACTTTTTGAAAATCAATTTCTGGGCAGGTCACCAAATACTGTTGCTATCTATGAGAAAAAGCACATGATATTCCCAAATTCTGACACAGAGGCGAAGTTGCACTTCGCATACAAAAGCAAAAAATGACGGATCACGCTATTGGGAAAAACTGAATGAGTAAAAGTTTGAGTCTACAAAATTTCTTAAGTGACGCACGCCAATTATGACCTACATAATTGCTAAGTGACGCATTTTAATAAGTATACGAAAACGTTCATTAAAAACATCCGACCCTGTCCAGGTTCGAACCCTCTTATTTTGTTGCGGGTCTCCTTTCCTACCTCTACGCTACAAATCCAGGATACCTTGAAGCTTAAGTGCTACTAGAGGCCCAGCAAAAACTGGAGTAATCTGAGTGCTGTTTTTTGAATTTGTTGTACTGATGCGGGATGAAGTAGGTAATTTAAAAAATTTCAGCATTGGGCTTCACCCAAAACCCTGGTAAATCCTCTATTAAAAATGAGTGAAACATTTTGTAATTTTGGAATTTTCCTAGAAACATGTTTCTTGTTCAAACTTAAATGCGTAGCAGTTTATGCACGGAAGCTTCTTACAACTTGTTGCCTTGATCAAACCTTTGATATCAGATTGAGTTCTTTTCGAGAAGTAAAAAGCTTTAAAAACGGTCAAAAGTCTAAAAATTGACTTATCAGAGGGGCACTTTTTGTGGAAAAAAAATTGAGCATAACAGCTAAAGCAGGGGAGCTTGTCACAAACTATCCGTTCGATTGAAACTAAACCTCAGGTTTGGGAGGGTAGTTACCGAGAAAAGCCTAAAAGTTTCAAAAATGTTGGGTCGAAAACTCCCCCCCCCCCACGCAACTTTTAGAAGGCTGCAGAGTTTGGGGTCAGGTAAAAAGAGACTGTGGATTATGCAGGCACACAGAGGAGTGGCCGAACTTTCCATTCATACCACTTTTTTGAAAATGGGTAGAGTAGTTTTCGAGAAAAACGAAATCTTTCCGAAGAGTAAAAAACCCGCTCCCATACATTTTTATAATACCTGTTTTTATCAAACAGGAGTTTGTAATATGATAGCATGTGTGAATATCCTTAGCATTGGCTGTACTTAATAGCTGGTTAGTGATCGAAAAGGTCACTTTCAAAATGAACACATTTTGTCGCATCAATATTTGCGTCGCACGATATTTGCGACTTAGGTTGGAAAAAAAGAGAGTTCATACTATAACACAAGCTTCGCTTGTGTAAAAACCTCACATGGAAAAATTTTGGGCTTTTCGAATTTTTGCTGCTGCGTTTTCCATGTTGCCAAGTGTATCTGCCGGTTTTGTATCTGTGACTTTTTAAAAAAATCACCATTTAAAGACAAAATTTCACGTAAGATTATCTTTTAGGTATAAATCATCTTTTTATTCACTTAATTGAGGAAATTTTCATAACGTCAGAACAATCAGAAGCTTGAGCTGAGTCAAAAATATGAGTGAAAACGTACGAGGTTGCTGTCGGCCATGAACACCATATTTCTTAAGTTCAATTATGAAGGGCTTTGCATGGGATTAGCAAACCAATACACAAAACATTAACTGTTTCATTGCAAAAAGAATTGCTATGCTTCAACCATGTTTCAAAACACTTGGATTTCTTCTCAGAAATAATCCCAGAAGCAATAGGCTGCACTTGAAAAAATCGCCTGTTAAATTAATTAGTCAATTGTGAAATTTGCGCAGCACGAAACAAATGGGGTCTCTTTTCATCAACACACTATCTTACTCTTCTATAAAAAAATAATCCAATAAACTATATCTTCTCAAAAAATGTTATGATAAGAGTTATTTTACTAGGTGCCAACATTTCAGCTTATCGGAATCTTTGACTCAAAGCATGGCTCTTTTGCCCTCCTCCACCAGTGATTTACATCAATTTTAGGCCGATACAAGAGTTTTACACGGTAAGGAAGGAGCATCATGTGTTTGAAACTAGTTAGTTAGTACAGGCTTATACCTTTTTACTTTCAGAGAATTATATGAAAGAATGGGGAAAGTAAAAAAAATCGGGGACGGTGGGTAGTAAGCTGTTTTGTGTACCTTTTAGGCCATTTTGTGCTGATTTGTTTGCATGTGCTGTCTCAGATGTCTCTTGTGGATCCAGGGTCCCTCTTCAGGACAGAGACTACATGCATACATTCTGTTCCTCCTCTTATCCTTCTCCCGTTTGATCTGATCCTGAGCTTTGTGATCTTTACTCTCTAAGTGAATTTTATATTTGGTCTGCATTGAGATTTGTTTGTCACAGAGAGCGCAGTAAGGCAGAGGCCAGTCCGATCCACTCAGAGTGGAATGAAACTGGGTCGTCATTCCTGACCTCGATGATCCAGGAGGCGTAACCCGACTATCCCCGCCAGACGAAGCCACTTTCGGAGACGGGACACTGCGCACTAAACTACTCGAACTAGTGATAGGTTTACTGGGTTTGGAGGATATTTTCTCTCGTTTCACCGTCCACCCTGCATGTTCTGCAGCTGAGACAGTCGAGGCACCACCTCTGCCCCTTGTCTTTTTAGGCCCTCGTTTGACCCTTGTTTCGACTGTTGGGAGAACTTTGTACACCTTTCCCCCACGCCCTCTTCCTCTCTTGAAATACAAATCAAACACTGAAGCAAATAAAAATCGAGTTCATTTTATAAGAATTTAGATTTCTTATAATTTAACTAGCCAGCTAAATTTTACGGAAGAGGGAACGAGTGACCAAAAACTAGCCCATTCGTATTGAATCAACCACCTTTTCAACCAGTGAATCTTGCCGTAAACTTTACGTGTAAGTTTCTGCCAACCTGTTGAACTATCACACACATTAAAAATTATGCGATAAAAGAGCAGCCAGTTCTAAAAGTAGCAAAGAGTATAAAACAATTGACATGCAGTTGGAACCACACAATGCATGCCGCAATAAAAATTTATTGGAGAATAACCAGGAAACGAGATTGGACCAGTGTTGCTTCGACGCAAACCGGAGTTGCAAGGAAAAAACCCTCTATATGTGCGACTGTCCAAACCCTTTATCAGATTTGTTTTAATTTTTTTTCAGAAAATATTTTATCGATGGAAGAACAAGCCAGACAATAAAGCACATTAGTCAGGGTTAGATTAAGTACATGAATTTAACTTTTGCTCAAAAGCAAACTTATTGGCGCTTTTGTGAACCAAAAGCAAAGTATGGTTATGACGGAAACGCATTGAATAAGATAAAACACGCATGTGGAAAACTGTTAGATAACCACATGAAGACCCAAAAATATTTTGGTTACAAAGCGAAAGCTTAAAAAACGAACATTTGCTGTGAAGAAAACATAGCCAACAGACAGTTGGAAACGAGTCAATACACAGAAAAAAATGTCGCTTCTTTTTTAAAAGTCTCATTTTTCGAATTTCGAGGAAAAAACAAATGGCCTTAGGACTTTTTGATTTTCTAGAACAATTTAAGATTGACACTTTTTATGATTTCTATAACAAGTTTTGACCGGCGCTTTTTTGATAACATTAACCCAATTTGAGAAAATTGGATCAACAGGTAAAGTTTTCATTCCGCTGCAAATCTCAATTTAAACTCCACTTTCGAAACTAGAAATCGTTCACGTTCTTTCGCGCCGTTTCCACGTTCGTATTTGGAGAGCGATATTTACATCGCTTTCAGTAGATGAATTTCAATTGAACTCAAGTGTATTATGCTTAAATGCATCAATATTTTAAACCTTTTTCCCGGAAAAACAAACAACAAAAACCAGCAGGACTTATATAAGAGTCTTCACTACGTTTGAGGAAGGTTTAATCGACAAAGAATGAGGCTTGTAAATAACACTGGAAATGAAATCTTCGTCAGTGAAAACTTTGTCTTTATGCGAAGATTCAAGATGATCTCTAATAGCTGCCAGGGACACACTCTGGTGATTGCAGAAGGAACAGACATATGTACCTACTGTTGGTGACTGGCGCTCGGACGATCTTGGGTCCGATGACATTTTGGCTGAAAAGTATAAACTTTAGGTTACTGTTAGGAAACTTCAGCCAGACAAATATCACATTTTAAACTCCTTTATTAAAATAACTTGCTAAATAATTACTAATACTCCTGCAAACTGATTGAGCAGAAGACTATTCTGTTTTTTTTCTTCACTTGGCAATCAGAAGGTAATCAGAAGGTCAAAAGTATCATAATAACCGAGGTTACGGTCAAGTCAGGAGTCCCCTCATCATGTATTCCAGTCAAAATCCTTGGAATTTTCTAGATATGGAAGTGATAATGATGAAAGAAGATGACAATTGCTTAAGTCTTTTTCAATTAAAATCGATACGGGTTAGTTTCTTCAATAAGAACACGCAACTCGACACGAGAAAATTTAATATACAAGTGTTACAAATTAAAATTTTCATCGAAATTTATTTTGTCATTTTTTGTTCCGAGTACGCAAGCGGCGTTCGCAATCTGTATTGCCAGGGAGATTCTCTGTTTTAAAAAGCTGCCTGCTCTGGATTCCTCAGTGCATATGCTTAGGTTCTTACAAAGTTCGCTCAAAAAATTTCTGTCCTGGGGCAGGCCGCGCCTTGAGTTTCAAAAACTAGTGGTTGAAAAAGATATCCATCATCTACAAGATCTTTAAATTTGTCAATGTTTTGCTCTTCCGCTTCAGCGGCAGCCGTACCAGGGTTACAAACAGACCCGGCATTAATCCTTCAAGGAGCTAAGGAGTCTACTACCGTTACATCCCACAAGAGCTGCTTACCAACAGCCCATGGAAAGAGCGTCATCCCGTCTGGTCGCTTCGCGTCTGGTCTAGTACCATGCCAACCATCCTCGGTAACGTCTTTTCCGCACACGAATTTATGCCGTTTGCATATTTTTGAGCCTAATCGCAATTCTGAGTTGTTGGTTCGACACTTTTGCGAATCTAACCTTAAATTTCGGTAATCAGAAGGTCAAAAGTATCATAGTAATCGAGGTAACAGTCAGGGGTCCCTTCATCACGTATTCCAGTCAAAATCCTTGGAATTTTCTAGATAGGGAAGTGATAATGATAAAAGAAGATGACAAGTGTTTGAGTCCTATTCAATTAAAGTCGATTCGGGTTACGTTTCTTCAAAAAGAACACGCAACTCGACACGAGAAAATATAATAAACAAGTGTTATAAATAAAAAATTTCGTCGAAAGTTGTTTTGTCATTTATTGTTCCGAGTACGCAAGCGGCGTTCGCAATCTGTATTGACAGGGAGATTCTCTGTTTTAAAAAGCTGCCTGCTCTAAGTTCCTCAGTGCATATGTTTAGGTTCTTACAAAGCTTGCTCAAAAAAATTTTTCTACTGGGGCCGGCCGCGCCCTGAATTTCAAAAACTAGCGGTTGAAAAAGATATGAATCATCTACAAGATCTTAATACTTGTCATTTTTTCGCTCTTCCGCTTCAGCGGCAGCCGTACCAGGGTTACAAACAGACCCAGCTTTAATCCTACAAGGAGCTAAGGAGTCAACTACCGTTACATCCCACAAGAGCTGCTTGCCAACAGCCCATGGAACGAGCGTCAAACCGTCTAGTCGCTTCTGATTGGTCCTGTAGAGGTGTCGTGGTTCTAAAACAGACGGAATGTGAGTAGAAGATGTATTCTGCTTTTTAAGGGCATTCAGGTTAGAATGCCTAGAGAATCTCCCTGCACTTTTGCGGCAAGGGAGACCATGCCAGCCATCCTCGGTAATGTCCTTTTCGAACACGCATTTAAGCCGTTCGCATATTTTTGAGCCTAATTCAAGTCCTATCGCAGTTCTGAGTTGTTGGTTCGACAGTTTTAACATTAAATTTTTGCACGGGATGATGTTCAACCATTGGGAACCAAGTCTATCTATTTACGTCCGTTGGTTCGAGTCGTAAAATCAAGTCTGCAATTTCGCTATATAAAATTGGCTCCGTTCAATTTTTTTTAGGATTTCATTTTCCGGAGCCATTTCAATTTTTCCAAGTTCAAACCACCGTTAAAGCGCATCATCATAGGTATAGGTTCCATCCACACGCTCCAAACCAAAGATTTGGCTCAAGGCATCTTTTGCTCTTACTGCTGAGGGTTAGAAAGCGGGTAAAGCGAGTAGACGAGCGGAAGAAACGCCCAAGCCACCTTTGGCTGCCGGGAGAACTGCTTGTAAAAACTGGTTATCATCCATTATTGTAAAAACTCTGCTTAAATTTACCTTTAACACCTTTCACGTTTGAAAACACAACACGGATAGCCGGTTACTATGCAAAAAACACAGACTGTTCCGACTGTAAGGGATTTTCAATGCAACCAAATGCATTTAACACAAGAAAGTAATCAGAAGGTCGAAAATATCATAGTAACCGAGGTTACAGTCAGGAGTTCCTTCATCAAATTACCCAGTAAAAATCAGAGTTTTTTAGATCAGTAAATGATAATGATAAAAAGGAGATGATTAGTGTTTAAAATTAGTGCTGTGCAGGTCAAATGCATTAATCAAAGATTTCCTAAAAAACGCCTTCAAAGATTAAATGTAAATTGAGTTGTTTTATGACTGAAATGAAGTTAGAAGAGGTATGCCACAAGGCACGGTACTAGGTCCGTATTTTTTCAGTTTTCATATCAAAACAAACTAAAACTGCAAATTACGAACGTTTTAGAAAATTAAAAATTAAAATTATTTTAGAAAATTAAAAGTTAAGAAATTTATTAAATGATCATCGATCCTAAAAAGATCCAAAGACAATGGTTATACAAAAAAAACAAAAATTCAACCAATTAAAAAATTTGAGGTTTGGAATTGAATGTAAATTTAAAATAATTTTTCGATTAGTATCATTTTCTAGTTTCGCAACATGTCAATATTTTAATTCCGAAACTTATTCGTTTTTGTTTTATCGAAAATAAATTTTCGGAAATATAATTTAAGGGTTAGTTTCCTGCTCCAGAACTCATCGCTCGTGATTATTCTCGGTCTCTCCTTCCAGATGAGAAATGCATCTTGTGTCAACAGCTTGACGTTGGTGTTAGATTGGTCTATAACCTACTATGACTTTCCTGCTGTCGTGCCCTCATTTCCACACTGCCTTAGATGTTGTTCTACGATTTAGTCCTCTTTTCCGTGTTTGTCAATTCTAGTGGTTAGATGTCGAAGCGTTTGGCCAACATAGGTGGAGTTACATTCAAAACATGAAAACTTGTAAATCAATTATGATTTTTTTCACGGGAAAAAGAAGACATGAAGATGGTAGGTAGGTTTCCAGCACTCTGACGTTGAAAACAATTGGTACCTTGATGACGTTCCGCACCTTATTTGCAAATATCAGATTTTCAGTGCCTCGGTACTGCACCACCATTATGGGTGGTGTGTCTGTATTAATAATACTCCCTTGAAGTAGGTCCTTGCAGGGCTCCTGTTGGTTTTTCGTGATGATTCTGTCAAGGGTCTTCGAGACAATTCTATCAGTCCAAGATTCAGTGTTTTAGCTGTGCACCCATTATTTTCTATTTCGTTCTTATAAATTGATTAATCCTCTTTATATATCAATTTTATACAAAAACGAAAATCTCATAAATGTACTTTGGTGCAATATGCTGACGATTGTAAAAAAATTGCAT